AGCCCAAAAGCAAGAAAGATGTGCCTTAAAAATAGATAATATTGAAAGACAAAAAAAAAGATGCATCCTAGAAAATATTATCAAAATTGTACATTTTAAAGGAGCATCTTTTTCTGTCTTTGACATGGGAAGGGGCCGGGGAAGTATATAAGAGAGCTAGCTAGCATTAATACTCACATTCGGAGGAGCTAAAGAAAGTTGAAATTATGAGGCACAGTATAAGTAAATATTTGAAGTTAATAGCGGCCATGATAACGAATCTTTGTATGTGTATTTCTTTTATGTTTGTTGATGTAACTAACGATTGGTGATTTTTCTGAGTATGCACAATGAAAATTTTGAATGAATTTATACATTTCAATCAATTCTATAATGGGTAAAGGTTATAATGAAGATTGAAATGAGTAAATAGCCAATCAACTTATTTGGTATCAAATCAATTGCCTACTGAGTTCATTGCACGTACCCAAAGAAATCAGTTATACACGTGATGCATATAATCAAATTTGATGTTGGGATTATAAGATTTTGAGGACTCTACTACGGTTACTTTTTCAAATTTAGTTGATTTTAATTTGCAGCGAAAAATAACTTTTTGTTCATATACTCCGTATATGTCTTTGTTTTGAAAAAACAAGTCTTCAAAATTTCAAATATGACTTTGTTTTATACTTCATCTGTCCCTTTTAAGTCTTCAAAGACGACTTTTCATGATTTTCAATGTAATATTTGGACTATCAATATCTTGAAGTATGTATAGATACTCCCACTATTCTAATGTACTTGTCCAATTTAATTTTTTGAATTAAATTGAATGAAGTTTAATTATTATTTTTTCTCAATTTTTATTATATGTTAGTACAAAATTTCTAAAGTTTTGAACAAGATAAATCTACCGAAAGCATTTTTATAGATTATTACTCATAAAAGAGGCCCATCTTTTAAATTGGGCTAGGACCCATAAAATGCCAGGACCGGGTTATTACTCCAAAGTCAAAATCAACTTGTGGGGTGCAATTGAAGGGGGTGGGGGGGGGTGTTCGGGTCGGGGCCGGGGTGGGGGGTTTACCGGGGGAGTTAGGGGGGTAGGAACCGTCAATTTTACGAACGGGGCACCGGAGCGGCCCCGGGTCATCCTATGACATTCAATGTCATTTGAACCTTGGTGGTAAAACATATATAAAGTAGGGGTGAGTGTGGTAAGATATGGTACGGTATTTAGCTCGTACCGATACCGAACCAAATATTACGGTTCAGTATGGGATTTTACGTTGTACCAATTCCGATCCCGAATATGGTTCGTGATGGTTCGGTATCGGTTTCGGTACGAATCGAGATGAATATATAAGTACCTAATTTACATCATAAAATATAACAAAACTTTTTATTTTTGAAAAATTGAATGTACATTTAACCAAAGAAAGATAAAAAAAATTAAAACTTAAAAAATAAAATGTAAGATATACTTATAAGAGTTAGTTTATATTTTACAAACTAAAGAGAACAAGTGATAATAAAGTACTCCCTCCGTCCCAAAAAGTTTGTTACGTTTAGAAAAAACTGCGTCCCGTAAAGTCCGTTACATTTCTATTAAAAAACCACTTTTACCCCTTACTTTTTCATACCCTACCTATCACATCATACTTTTTTTCAAATAATCTACCCATCACATCCTACTTTTACCAATCACATCAAGGGTATTTTTGGAAAGTCAATACCAAAATATCCCTCCCTTAATTTCCCAAAAAGTCAAACCGTCCCATTCTTTTTGGGACGGAGGGAGTTATTTCAAATACGAGTATTTGTTAATATTCCTCTACCCATCTACAAAAAATAAAAAACTCTTATTAAAGTTCAACTTAAACATAATGAAAATAAACTAAATTGTCTATATAAATTTTATATTTAATGACAAAATATAAAGAGATTATTATTTTATAACATATTAGTATATATGTTCCGTTCGGGAATTTCGGTATGAGAAGTAACCTCGTACCATACCGTTCCCAAATACCGGACCGGCCGTTCGGTCCGGTACGGTTCGGTTTCTTTTCGGTACATTATCGGTTTGGTATTCTCGGTTTTTTTGGGAAATATCGGGATCGATTCGGTCCTTGCTCATCCCTAAAATAAAGTATCAAAATAGGACTTTCATGTTTTTATTTTCAAAATCAAAGTTATAATACCAATGATGTCAATATATAATATCAAAAAATACTGTAGAGAACTAGTATGCAGTGTCACAGTGCAAATTCTTATTTTGAAAATAAAAACACAAAAATCTTATTTTAATATTTTGTCTATGTTTTACTTCTTATTACTTGGGGTGATTTGTTTTCCACCCAATATAAGTTTCAATTTTGGCAGGGGGGGACAACATAGGGGAGAAACAAGTGCAACCTTACACTTTAGACTTTATTATATACTCATGGAAAAAGAGCCAATTAAAACAGCTGGTTCACACATCCACCCACTTAGCCTTTTGGTTTCGTTTACGGGAACTCGGGAAGGACCGTGCAATGTACTACACCAGATGATGTTTGGTGTGTAACTGGAAACTAATAAAGCTTTTGTTCATTAGTGGAATAATAATGGCCATATATATTTCTGATAAATAAGAGCTAGCTAGCTAGCGCAGCTTCCTTCACTACTACCATTCTTCTTCCTTTATTTTCTATCTTAATTTCATTATCTTCATTCAGCTGCAAGCTAATATATTTATAAGTAAAAAAAAAATGGTGAGGAGTGTGTTCGGCGGACCAGGGGAAAAGAGTGGAATACTACTCCGTCTCTTGCAGGCTCTCCTTTCCCTTATTTCCCTTCTTGCTCTCGTTTTTGCTCCTGGTTTTGCAGACACTTTCGGGATGAAGTATTTAAATTGCTTCCTTCCTTCTTAATAATTAAACATGCATGCATATAGACGCTCTCGTGTTTTCTCTCTATAATTTTTCTTCTTTCTTGTAAGTAATCTGTGGTTCTCAACAGCTACTTGTGTTTTTGTTTGTACGTATGTAAAGGTTCTTGCTAAATTCACAAGGCGCTCAAGTGATCTGGAGCTTGATCGTGGTGTGCATGGATTGTCGCACGACGGCCTTGTTTGGCGGCGGAAACAGGCGGCGGCCTTCCCTCCTCCGTGTCAGGTTCACCTGCATGTTTGACATGGTAAGTACCGTACGTCACTTTATTTTTTTAATTAATTACTCGGTATTTATTTTATTATTTTTAATAATAATAATAATAACAATAATTGAGTAATTTTTAATAATCTAGTTGAAAAAATTATGGGGAATATAATTTGAATAGTGCATGCATGCATGCAGTGTATGAGTGTTTTTTCTTTGGGGACTCTAAGCTCAGCGGCGGGTGTGGTGGATGTGCTCTCCAGAGGATCATTGTGCGTCCACGCTTCGAAATCATGCAGATTGTTCCTGGTTTCCATTGTCATGGCAATTCTCGCTTGGTCTCTGCAGGGAGCTTTGTATTTGATCATGTTAAGGGTTGTAATGCAATCACATTAGAGTTTTTTTTTAAAAAAAAAAAAAAAAATTAATCTGCATGCATGCATGCACTGCTTGTGTAATATAATTAAGTACCCTTCATTTCCTCCTTTTGGCATGCATCATGGGCTTGTATTATTAGTGTCTATTATTGACCTTGCTTCAATTCTTTCTTCATCTTTTAAAAGTTAATTGATTCCTTGATTTCATGATTTTTATTATATCTGACAATCGATCACGAACAACATGGTAAAACCTGGCAAAACGGACAAATTTGCTTGTCCAAAATCGAATCTGAAATGGCACGAAGAAATGAATGCTTGATCAATAAACGTTATAATAGATGACCGGCCCGAACTGAATTACAACAAAAATAAATTTGGTAAAATCCGAACTAGACCCGAACCAAAAACACAACAAATAATCGAACCAAATGAAACTCGTATTAGGTAGCTTTCCGTTCAACTTATTTTTTCTGCTTATTACTTATTCTTATTATAATCAGACCAGATCAGATCAGACTAAATCAGATCTGAAACAACTTTAATTATAAATAAAATCAGGTCAAACCAGACCAGATCAGATTTTCAAAAAACCAAATCAGATCAGGCGAACGAAACGCAACATTAAACTTGTTGATCAGATTTTTCTAGGTCTTGTATTTTGTATATTTGGGTTTGTTTTTTGAGAGTTGCCTTACTGATATTGTGTGGTTTCTGTTGGCCCACTAAGATTAATGGCCTTTTTGCAACAAAAAAAAAAACAAAACAACACCGGCCCGAGCTCATTAGATGATAGAAATTTGCACTAAATAGGACTAAAACATAATGACTTTCTTAATGTAGGACTTAAACTTTTTTATTCCCTAAAAAGGACTTAATAATGACCTAGTGGAAGGAATAATGTCCAGCAATGATGGACATTTAGTTGAATAATGACTACTTGATAATGACTAAAGATCCTACATTGGGAAATAAAAACATATGGTCCTATATTGAGAAAGTAATTATATTTTAGTCCTATTTAGATAAATTTCTCTACATGATATAGGAACTTACGGCTCTGGGCCATGTTACTTCGATATACGTGTTTCGTACACATGATGCTTCATCTCTATGGTTTGGGACCACCTCAATGCTTACGAACCATGCGTGTTTTGGACCATTCTTCTTTTTAATAACACTAATACTCCCTTCGTCCCCAAATAAACTTCCCCTTCGTTTTTTCTTCGTCCCCAAATTAACTTCTCTTTTGCCTTAAAAACCCCTTTTATCCCTTACTTTTTCATACCCAACTTATCACACCATACCTTTTTACTAATAATCTACATATCACATCTTACTTTTACACATCACATCAAAGGTATTTTTGGAAAGTCAATACAAAAATATCTCTCCTTTAAATCATCAAAAAGTCAAAAAGAGAAATTTATTTAGGGATGGAGGGAGTAAATGGTTTGGACCACTCAAGTAACAAAAGTTTTTTTTCTAATTAAAAACTTTTTTAGTGCCAAATTGCTAATTAGTTTTCAATGGATGAGAAGATCCAAATGCTTTAAACTACGAAGTAAAAATAGTAGAAAAAACAATGGTACCACCAAAATAATGATTGTCCGGAATTAGAAACCACTCCTTTGCCATTACACTATAGGTGGTAGTGGACCACGCGTGCTAATGTGCTATGGCACGGTAATTTAAAATTACTCTCTATTATTGAGGATGAGTCCTACTTTGAGTTTAAATTAAGTCCTCAAAATAAGATATTTAATCAATTTTTAAAATATTATACAAGTGTTTTTGGTCTAACTGAACATATTCCGTAAGCCCAAGTGTCATCGAGCCCAGGCTGCCCAGCCCAATAAAGTCGATGCTGCAGTAATACTCCGCAAAAGTAAACAAAACAAAGGGAGTAAACCCAATATTCATATCATGTTTGCAAATTGCAGTTCACCAGTTTTTTTTTAAATCTTATTTTGCAAGATTATAACTTTTTCTTTATTTATTTTAAATTTTACTACATATCATATATGCTTTGATATACTTTGAATTTGAATATTTATACTGAACTATTTGTTTAGACATTTACATTTCCCTGATGAGAGTGAGTTTGTTAGTTATAGAATTACTAAAATACAAGAAGAAATAAATAAATTAATTGACTATGTTATGGTGTCATTTTTATCAATTTTATGTAATGGTGGTTTTTTTATAAATATTTTCAAGAATATTTCAATATTGTAAATAGATGTCTAAACCGGTCAATCAAAATCCCTTCGTTCTAGCTAGGTCATGAACAATTGTGTGTTAATCCAAATTCGAATCGATCTGAACTCGAACCAAAATCTGAGTTGACCGACTATTTTGGTGGGTTTATTTCCACCTTAATAATAATTTCAAATAACCGTGCCACAGCATGTTAGCACGTGTGGTCCAGTAGTGTAATGGCAAAGGAGTGATTATTTCTAATTTTGGACAATCATTATCTTTAGTAGTACCATTGTTATTACTACCATTTTATAAGTTCAAAGCACTTGATTTTTTCGTCCACTTAAAACTACATACTCACTTGCATATAAGATAAAGTACATGCTTCAATTCAATGGATGTAGTTTTTGCGAATATATATTAGTTGTAATTTAAAATTAGTCGAAGTTTTTATCTTTCCAGTTAACAGTTGAATTAATAATTAACAGTGCAATTATTCAAAGTTACCGAGAGAACTAGAAGTTTTTATCTTTCTAATTACTCCGTAATAACAAGAAACCCAGTGAAATCTCATAAAAATAAAATTGGAAAGATATGCATATGCAAATTTTACCTCGATTTGATTTTTTCTAAAAAAGAAATAATCCAAAACAGGAATAAAACATAGTCGTTATCCATAAAATAGGAAATAATATAATGTATGTTTTTATCGACAATGTCACACTGTATATTATTTGTATACTACAATCTTTTTTTGGTATTATATATTGACATTATAGCTTTGGTTCTGTAGATTTATATGTTCTTAGTGCATATCTTCACTCATGTGGTAACCTTTAATTGTGATGGATGATTTGTCCCCAAAAAAAGTTGAATTTCTCCTTAAGATCTTTAGTACGTGCTCTTGATATTGTTTTTCCTCCATAATAGGAATGGGACACTGACTGTGATGCATGGCTTGTAAATAACTTACTAGGAGGCCAGGTCTTTTTTTAACTCTCCCTCCATAAGAATAAAACAACTATAAAAAAAATTAAAATAAAAGTCTTAAATCGTATAAGCATAAAATAAGAGTTCAAACTGTCATTGTTACACTATCACATGACTCACCGTATTGTCACAGTATCACTGGATTCAATGCCACACTATCATCCCTGTGTCACCGCCGTCAATAATGGCTGATTATTGATTGATCACACTGTCATATTATATATTCTTTCATTACTTCTTTTATCACACTGTCAACACGTACGAACTTTTATATAATTCAGACATTATGCTTTTATTTTGGTCGTAAAAGACTTATGACTTCTATTTTAATATTTTGGTGTTTTCATTTTTTAATCATACGCATGGAAATTCCTTTTTTAAAACTAATTTTTTTACTGCATCATCCAACAAATGTATTATTTATGTCATGGTAATTAATATTTTAGGAATGTAGATGTGTAATAAAATTATTTTGTTGAATGAGAATAGTGCACGAGAGGTTACCTTTATCACCATCCACTTGGTGGTCACGACTCACGACATGAAGTTGGTGTCACATTATAAAAATATGAGAATTGAAATAACTATCTTTAACTAGATGTATCAATTTTATTGTCTTAGTGTCCATGTCCTATTTTTCACTACCTGTCTAGAAGGTGGTCACAAATAAAACTAGTAAAGCCAACCCATAAGTGGTCACGGCATGAAGATGGTCTGTACCTATTAGTGTATATATTTTCTTTATGTATTTTGTATTCGGGCTCCTCGTTTGTATCAATGAATCAAGCAAGCATTTCAGTTCCAGAATTCTACGTGGTATCAGAGAGTTTTCTGGGATATTCCTGTTTTCTATCGGCCGTCGGTGTCCCTGTCGTGCGTCCCCGTCCAAGACGCCGGGCCCAAATCGCCGATCGTCCGTCCCTGTTGCAGTCGCGAGTCTCCGGCTAGTCGCGATCGTTCGCCCTAGTTGTGGTCGCGGGTCTCCAGACGTCGGCCCCGTTGCAGTCTCCGCGTCCATCGCGCCGATTGAGTTCTCCGATCGTCGCCAATCAGTAGCCCAACGCATCAAGTCCAAGTCGCCATCTCTGCGAAGAGATCGCCATCGTCCAGCCGTCAATTATCGCCAGATCCTTTGGTCAGTCGTCAAAGTTCGTCGAAAAGAATTGCACAGTCCACTTGCAATATTGTTTTGTGGAAGTATTCTTTAGTTGGATTTCAAATTGGCCACACAGCAGCAAATTCAAGGGAGTATATCCACTCGCATTTTTTAGTTCAACATGTTTGGTTAATCTTTGGACCAATTGGATTTTGTCTGGCCAATCTGCTACTGTGAGTGGTTGGTTACACTTTGAGGTATTTGTTTGGCCACTTCAAAGATATTGATGATGAATTCTATATCTTGTGACTGGTTGATTGATAGTGGTGCATCGCACCATATGACAGGAACCTTGTCTCATTTATTTTGTATTGAGGATATGACTCCTCAGTCTATTTGTCTCCCTGACGGTTCTCGTATCCAGGCGAGCAAAAAGGGAAGCGTGTGCTTATCCCCCAGTTTGGTTCTCCATAATGTTTTATATGTCCCAAACTTGCACTGTCATTTGGTTTCTGTTGGTTGTTTGGTTCAATAAACTACTTGTCATGTTATTTTTAATGATCAATGTTGTGTAATACAGGACCGTACGTCGAAGACGGAGATTGGACGAGGAGAATTGCGAAACGGAGTATACGTCTTTGCCTCATACCCAGCGTCAGCCCTTGTTGTCAAGTCGGATCCATTCATTTTACACCAACGATTGGGTCACCCTTCCTCTGATGTTTTTCCCTTTCTTGGTTACAATAAAACAGGTTCTGTTATCAAGAAATTACAAACATGTGAAATTTGTTTTCTGTCTAAGCAAACTCGTTCATCCTTTCCCATGAGTCATAATAAAGCTCACTCCATTTTTGATTTAATTCATTGTGATTTATGGGGACCTTATTCTGCTTGTATATCATCTGGGGCACATTATTTTCTTACTATTGTCGATGATTTTTCTCGAGCTGTCTGGGTGTATCTCATAAAACACAAAAGTGAGGTCACATCTTGTCTCAAACGCTTCTTTGCTATGATAAACACCCAATATTCCAAAATTATAAAAGTGGTGCGCTCAGACAATGGTACTGAATTCCTTAATGCCTCTTTGCGTCAATACTATGATGATTTGGGTGTTTCTATTCAAACCTCTTGTGTAGGTACACCACAGCAAAATGGTCGAGTCGAGCGAAAGCATCGTCATATATTAAATGTCGCTCGATCTCTTATGTTTCAAGCATCACTTCCAGTTGAATTCTGGGGGAGTGTGTCAAAACTGCAGTCTATCTCATCAACCGTACTCCTACCAAACTTCTCGAGGGTAAATCTCCTCTTGAGATTCTTTCCTCTAAACCACAAGATTTAAGTCATCTCCGTGTCTTTGGTTGTTTGTGCTTTGTTCGTCGAATGCCAAAACCCTCAGATAAATTTTCTCCCCGAAGTGTGAAATGTATGTTCGTTGGTTATCCTTACGGTACCAAAGGATGGAGAGTATACAATCTTGAAACTCATCAACTTTTTCACACTCGGGATATCTCATTTGATGAAACCCAATTCCCCTTTGCTCAACCTACACGGTCCTCGTCACCTTTACCCGTCTTGAAGCCATCGACAGAGGATTTCCCGGCCACTGTCAACCCGTCCCAGCCATCCACAGCTGTTCCTCCAGTCACGTCTCAGCCCACCACCACCACTCCACAACCGCAACATACATCGTCCACCGACTCTTCTCCATCGTCGTCTCCTTCGGTGTCTTTGTCCTCCAACAACGAGGACAGTCCCATCACCTCTCCATCACCGTCACCTCCTCCCCTTCCACCACGTACTCGGCGTCCTCCCTCCCATCTCAGTGACTATATTCTTCATTCCGCCAAAGTCGACACTCCGGTTCCCTCTTCATCTGTTTTGTCTTCGTCAAGTACACGGTATCCCATTACTCACTTTGTTCATTATAACAAATTGCATGACAGGTACAAAAGTTTCTTGGGTGCAATTGATGCCTCTCCTGCTCCTAAAACTTTCAAAGAGGCTGTTCAGTATGCTTCGTGGCGTGAGGCTATGGCTCAAGAGTTCTTGGCTCTAGAGCGTAATCATACTTGGGATATAACTGACCTCCCTCCTAACCGGCGTGCTCTGGGCTGTCAATGGGTGTACAGGACCAAATATAAATCTGATGGTACCAAGGAACGGGATAAAGCTCGATTGGTTGTATTGGGAAATCACCAGGAGTTTGGGATTGATTTTACTGATACTTTTGCTCCCGTGGCCAAATTAGCCACTGTTCGTGTGTTATTGTCTGTTGCAGTGGCTAGGGGTTGGCAGGTAGATCAGTTGGACGTCAACAATGCCTTCTTACATGGGGATCTTCGTGATGAGATCTATATGAAGATTCCTCCTGGATATGAGCAGCTATTTCCCGAAAAGGTTTGCCGTTTGCGCAAATCATTATACGGGCTCCGTCAGTCTCCCCGTAATTGGTTCACTAAGCTTCGTATAGCCTTACGCCGTTATGGTTTTCGTCAGGCTCATGCAGACCATACTCTTTTTGTGTTATGTCGTGGGCCGGATATGTTGGTGGTTTTGGTCTATGTGGATGACATTCTTGTTGCTGGTAATAATCCTTCTCTGTGTTCGTCATTCAAGAAATATTTAGATGAATGTTTTCATCTCAAAGATCTTGGACCCGTTTCCTATTTTTTGGGCATCGAGTGTGCTCGATCTCAGGAAGGCATGGTCCTGAATCAGCGTAAGTATGCTCTTGATATTATCCAGGAGGCAAATTTATTGGGTTGTAAGCCCGTTGACACCCCGTTACCTAGTAATCACAATCTCGCACGGTCTACTAGTGCTGAGATACGTGATCCGATGAAGTATCGTCGTCTTGTGGGTCGTCTGTTATATTTGACTATTACTCGTCCAGATATATGCTATGTCGTGCATGTCTTGTCTCAGTTCATGCAGTCTCCACGTTTGGATCATTGGTTCGCTGCTTTGCGTGTGGTTCGCTACCTCAAAGGCCATCCTGGACAGGGTATTTTGTTACGCAGTGACAGTAACCTTGCTTTGACTGCCTTTTCAGATTCAGATTGGGCAAGTTGTCCTCTGACGCGTCGTTCTGTTACCGGTTACTTTATCTTACTTGGAGGGTCACCCGTCTCTTGGAGAAGTAAGAAGCAGAATACAGTATCTCGATCTTCCGCTGAAGCCGAGTACCGGGCTATGGCGAACGCCTGTAATGAGATTCGTTGGCTACGGGGTCTCCTCGCCGCTTTATATGTCCCATGTGTTGTCACTCCTAAATTATATTGCGATAATAAATCTGCTTTGTTTATTGCTGCTAATCCCGTGTTTCATGAACGTTCGAAGCATATTGATATTGATTGTCATATTGTCAGAGAATGTATTCAGCGCAATCACATCGTCACAGCTTATGTTCCCACACGATTCCAAACAGCAGATATTTTCACTAAAGCTCTTCCTGGACCATTATTCCATTCTTTGTTATCCAAGTTGGGCATTTTTGATATTCATGCTCCAACTTGAGGGGGAGTATTAGTGTATTAGTGTATATATTTTCTTTATGTATTTTGTATTCGGGCTCCTCGTTTGTATCATCAGAGGGCTCCTCGTTTCTATCTCCCGTGTACATTTATATAGGTCTTTGTATCAATGAATCAAGCAAGCATTTCAGTTCCAGAATTCTACAGTACCACTTGGTGTCATGATTTAAATTATTTTAAAAAAGATCCGAACCACTAAGATTTTATGGAGTGTATTGGTTTGGGTTGAAAACATATACTTCCTTAGTTGAATGTTGAGATGAACTAAGACTTAGAAGAAAAAAAATTAAAGGCCAGGGTTGAAAGATGTTAGAAAAGGTTAGGAAAAAATGTAAATAATTGAAAGAAATTTGAAAGAGTTGAAAGAGTCTAGAATATGTTAACAAATGAAAGTGTGAAAAAAATCAAGTGTTTTAAACTAAATATTACTCCGTATATCCTTGAATTCTTTATTTTATTAAAATGAATTGAATGGTACTGTTAAAAATGAAAGGGTAATTCCATAAATAATCTTTTATAATAGGTGGATTTCCATGCATATAATTTAGTCATTCTCAAATATTACTAGCATAATCCTCATTTTTTTGGTTCTTTTCCGTAGTTTAAGGATCATATCACTCCATCACTACTAATGTTATCTACCCGTTCAATGTATGGTATAAAATGTAATTTTTCTCTCTTTTCTCTCAATCAAACCCCTGCCTCATCCTCGGCAAAACTTATTATTAGGATGGTGTGTAAATTAAAGAAGTCATTGTACATATGGCTTGAAGCAGGCACTTCGCCGTTGGTTTGTAAAAATTATCAAGTCCTTCAAAGAAGTATGACTTTACGCATTCAGTTTCTAACTACTCTCTCCTTATGTTGTGCAATATTCATGAGGTGGTACATGTAGTCTTGGTCTATATTAGTGATGACCAAGTTGGGTTATTGTAAAATATTTGAATGAATGATCGTGGTACGTTAAAGTATTTCCTGGGCTTTGAAGTGGCTCAAAGTTTTTCAAGTATTTTCTTGTGTCAAATAAAAAAAGGTAATTTATTTAAATAGGACTAAAACATAATGACTTTCTCAACATAGAACCATATGTTTTTATTTTCCAATATAGGACCTTTGGTAATTATTTATTAGTCATTATTCAACTAAATTAAATGACCAGCATCACTTAGACATTATTCTTCTCACTAATCATTATTAAGTCTTATTTATGCAATAAAAAAGTTTAAGTCCTAGGAAGGGAAATGAGGTATGTTATGATCTTATTCAGTGCAAATTTCAGAGTAAAATAATACTGCGTAGAAAACGAGTACCCACCATAACAATAGAGACCAAAAAGTAAATAATAAAACAAATCATTGAGACCATCTAATTCAATCCATTGTTTGGGGCTCTGCAATTTTCTTCGCAGTGTTGTTCGGTATCCCAACACCCAAGTAGAAGGCAGCACCAACAACCGCCATGTCCATCATCACATTTGCCCCGTGCACAAAATGTTGGAATGTTAAGTTTCACTTCACTTTTTGGAACCCTACTACCTGTTCAAATATATATATATATATATATATATATATATATATATATATATATATATATATATATATATATATATATATATATATATATAAAGTTAAAATGAAGTTTTTGTTTTTTGAGACATAAGATATCACATATATGTGAAACCGAAAAATCAACGAAAACGAGTTAAAGAGAGTCATACTTAATTACATTCCTATGAGTTAATTATAAAGAGTTGAATTTTTTTTTGAAACTCAAACACTTTCATTCATCAAAGCAAATGCAATACATCATTTGGGGGAATAGAATGCCATTCATAGCACCCATTAACAGCCAATCTAGCAAGGGTGTGTGCAATCAAATTCGACTGTCTAGGAATGTGAAAAAAATTAACATAGTTAAAGAAATAAGCAAGTTTTTTGCAATCATCCTCCACCGTGTTCAGATATGACCGAGCTTCTATCACGTCATTCTTTAGAGCATGGACCGCTTGAGCACAGTCAGAGAAAACAGCGACATCATGGACATTCTTCTCCTTGAGCCAAGATAGGGCTTCCTTAATAGCGAAAGTTTCAACATACCTTGGTACTAAGGGACAGGTGACAAGCTTGTTGAAGCCCCCGATGAACGTGCCTGCCCCATCAAGAAGGGCTGCCGCCACTGATGTAAAACCCTCCTGTTCAAACATGGCCGCATCAACAAAGCATCGCAGGAGATCCGGCCGGTTCAACTGCTGAAGCCCCG